TTGGGGAAAGAAGAGGTTATACCAGTTGCTGTGAGAGCAAGTTCTTTGGCCCTGACAGTATCTAACAAGAGCAGGTGAGCTTTGGCGAGTGTCAGTGGTTGTTGGGTAGGAGACATGGTCTTGGGGCTTTAGGCTGGGCTTGAGAGACAGTGTGCCAGGCAAGTGTTCTCATATAAGGCGCTGGCTGTCCTTGTGCTGTGAGTGCTCCTTGTGGTGCTGGGTATTCTTGTTCTTATGTGACATATGTAGTAAGCTGCAATTTGGAAAGATTTTTCGTCATAGTTCCTGTCATTAAACGAATTTTGTGTGAGAGCTGCCCGTTGGTGTCCTTCTTCACTCCATGTTGCCAGGGTTTGGCACGAGAGACTCTATTTTGAATCTCCTAACTCTCATGGTCCTATTTGATAATTTCTCTCTGATCTAGCTATGTGATACTAATTCTCCTGTTTGCTTTACTTGGCGCTTTCCCTCAGTGTGAGTCATTTCTTGTGTTGTTTGTATTTTCTGACTGTCAACTCCCCTTTAAGGAAGCATTCTCCCCCTCTGGGTGTTTGATGTGTCCAGGGTGGAAAGTGGGTTTGTATTTGATTCTGCTGAGATCCTTTGTGGTCTTACTGACACAGACCAATTTGGCTTTTAAAAATTATTGGCTTGGAGGTCCTGCTTGTGTAAGTTGTATAAGTTCAGACTCTCCCCCACACATGGTATTAAATTTCTGGTTTTAATTTGTGATAGATGTATTTCCCCCTCTCTACAGCCCTAAGTGGATGGCAGCTTTCCTCAGTCCTCTCCTGGGCTGAAGAGAAAAAATTTTCTAGTCCTCGTCATGTGGCTGTGACACCTTTGGAAGGTCCTGGTTTTGTGCAGGAAGTTGTGCCTCCCCCTCCTTGCATGGGCTGTTATGCCTTCTCAACTTGCATGGACAGTAAAGGCAGCTGGGGCCACTAGCTCCTGTGCCTGGTTGGATATACCTTTGCACATCTGTTGTGTTTTGGACATCCGTCTTTTTTTTTTCTGGAATGTGAGGATTTGTTCTCTTTCTTTTGAATTTGACTATATATTTAAGACAATTTCCCCTTTGTGTGTATGTTTTTGTAGGGAGAGGGGCCCTTCTGAATCATCTCAGCCTGCCATTTTGCTGCTCCTTAATATAAGAAATAGAGACCAACGACAGATTCTGAGGTCCACTGGCATATAAGGGACAGAAATAAGAGAAAAAAATCCCTGAAGAAGTTGGAAGAAGCAAATGGCAAGAGAAGAACAAGGAGAAAGCTGGTCCTTGGGAACCAAGAGAGAACAGAGCTTTTAGAAATGTCCTTTTATGTGCTATGAGGCCAGCTTTTCCCAGGGATGGCACGTTGTTTAGCCTGCAGACTCAAGAAACTTCTTTGAAAGGAAAACTTAGAGAAACACTAAAGTAAGAGATCAGCTAAATTTTCTCTCTCTCCCCACCTTTCTCCTCTCCTTTCCAAAGAAAATTGCTTTAAAAATTGGAAAAATTGCTAAAAAACTTGGAAACTCCTAGTTCCTCTTGAAAACATAGGAGGGACTCTTTCTACCTTTGGCCCCAACATCAACCTCACCAAGAGCTTTGGTGACCACAAAGCGGGGTGGCATTACTTGTGTTGGTGGTGGCTTGCCTATTTATGCCCCTCTCTCGTGGTGTCTGTCTTTTCATATCTGGTTATTTGGGGGGCCACCTGTAATATATGTGATACATAAGAGCAAACCTCATTGCTTTGAGCCTGTTCTTCCTTTTCCCCTCCACTTTTTCTGGGACGTTCTTAGCCATTATCTCTTTGAGTGGTGCCTTTCCCACATCCCAGTCTTGCGAATCATACACTTTAAGGGTCTTTCTAGGCTCTAGTTGAAAAGCATTTGGGTTTCCATTTGGAGGAACCTCAGTTCTGACGCTGTAGATTTTTGTGGCTTTGCAGGGCATCTTGTAGCTTGGAGTATGTCTGTGAGCTGAGCCGTACAAAGGAGCCTATGTGTACCTGTGTCTGGGAGCCTGCAACTAGAATGCTAGGTTTCCACCACTTCCTAAATTTTCAAATAATGACCATGTCATACCATCTCTCCACAATCTTAGAAGTGAGTAGTGCTGATGTCAACATTCCCATTGAAAACCAAGGACTAGAGAGGTGGAGTGGCTTCCCCAAAGTCTCCAGCAAGCTAGAAATAGAGCTGGGTTTGTTGTCCAGGCCTCCTACCTTTGAGCCTGGTGCTCTCCCCTCCATTCGATACTGCCTAGGCATGTTTGTACAGGCTTAAGAGGAGATGCCCATCTCTATTCCTAGATTTCTGCCAACCTGATCACAAATGTCCCATGACACTTCCCTGCTCCTTACCCTGCCCGTGGGGGGATACCATACACTGAGGGAGACTTAGTTCTCTCCTCTCTTTTGTCTGTATGTAGGCCTCTGTATGTCTTAGACATCGGCTGCTCTTGCTCGCAGACTCTAGACAAAGACAAATGAATTGTTGACCCAGCTCAGAGAATTTACAATTTACATTTTATAGTATTTCTGGGTAGAAACAATGGCTAACATCAACTTTCTTGGCATTACTTTTTATTGAATACAGACTTATAGTCTTTAAATAATTTATATAATGCTTTCATTACATAGGTCTTTAATCATACATATATTTATTCAAAGCACAAAACTATAAATTAAAATTGAAAGGCTATACACAAATACATATTGCCATAAATCTAGAACTATTTTATAAAAATAGAACTCAAATATTAACTTTATATATTTTAGCAACTTAGCAGTATTGTAAGGTGGCCACATACATTTTTATTAAGCATCACTGTTCCAAATGACTGTCTCATTTTCCATCTCTTTGGGGACACCTGGAGCTGACTCCTTTTCCCAGGGTCCCCACAGAGAAGCCTATGGCCATGGCTCAGTGTTGCCTTTGCATAAAGTCTCAGGGCACCTATCTCTTTTTGGAAGGGGAAGACCAGCTTCCAACCCCTCCTTAAGAGAGAGGAGATGTTGCTTACTGCCAAGCATCTGCCATTCATGCTTCTTGACACCCTGACAGTGCATGGCTTAATATCTGAGTGTACACACAGTCGGTTACCTTTCCCTATGCTTGGAGAATAACAGGTATGAATTTGGGTCTGTCACATCAGTGTAAATAGTTTAAAAGAAAATCACCCCAACAATGCCCAATAGGGTAATGTCCTCTGGAAGGGGGGCACTGCTGCCCACCTGCACATGCAAGGTCCTTTACAATCTCTCTGACCCTCATAACCTTGCGAGGTGGGGACATTCTTGTTTCTATTTGACAATGGAGGGAATTGTATTCCTGGGCATTTAAGTCATTTGGACAAGGTTAACAGAGCTGTTTGACTCCCAAAGCCAGAGTTCTCTGCTTGCCCAGAAATCCAGAGGAACACCTGGATCTGCACTGTGGTTGTTTGGGAAGAACAGAAAAGTGGCTTTGGGAAGGGGTGAGCTGCCTGTCCCCAGACACCCTTGGGATCCCTGGGCTGCAGCTTCCCAAGGGAAGCAGGAAGGAGGCTGTGGGAGGGAAGGAGCGTGAACCTATAGACCAATGACTTGACTTTGTTTGTTGGAAGCCCGTGCCAACATTGCCCACATTGTCCAGGAATCCTCCATCTAAAACCAGAGCTCAAGGAATTCACTGCTTGAGACTGCTTGTGTTTTTGTAAAGCTGAGCAAAGGTCAGCTCCTTGCATACCACCCCCCACCAACCAGCTCACCCTCACAGCGTGAAGAGCCTTCAATAGTGCCCCCAAAGAAGGGATACTTGCAGGGCTCCTGGGCCAGAGTGGAGTGCTTAGAATGGCTGCTATCTGCTTTTTGTGTTCCCTTCTCCTGCCCCTGCTACCACAGGCTGCAAGATGCTCTCAACTCCCACCCTGCTGAGCTGTCCGTCCTGCCCAGACAGGCTTGCTGCCAGCCAGCTGTCCCCCTGATCCCCAGGCCAGTGGAAAGCCCTGCTGTGGGGCCTTCTATTTGGGGTTTACTCATATCTCTGGCTAGCATCCCTTAACTCAAGGAGCTCAGCTGTCTAATGGAGTCCTGCTTGGGCCACTGAGATTGTTTTCTGAAATTAATCTCAGGGTGGTTTTCTTCAGAAAACAAAACAAAGCAAACAACACTAGAAAAACCAAAACAACCCTTCCTCCACCTATTGGGGCACCTTCAGTAGGGAGGACAATGGGAAAGATGCAGAAAAATGCAAATAGTGGGAGCCCCGGGAACTGGCCAGTCCTCCCACAGCCACCTGTTCTAGGTGACCAACCTGCTCCAGGCTGTGTGGTTTACTCACCTTCCCTAATGCCGCCTGGGAAGTAGAGAGTGACAGCAATTCCAGGATATTTGCAAATAAATTTTCTCCCCTTTCAAAATTGTTGGACACAGATTTCTGAACTCAAGAAGGCTGCCCCTGGGAGCAAAGGAAGAAACAAGTTTGGGGCCAACCCATTTTAAGTAACATGGGCTGTGCCTGGTGTGTGTCAGGGAGTGGGTGCTGGCAGGACTGTGTGGCTCAGTGGATCAAAATGCTTTGAATCTGAAAGCAAAGCCTCGTGCTCCCCACAGAAGGAGAGGTGATGGCCTGGAGCTAGCCTCTTCCTTCATGATTCATTAGGTACACTGCATGTCAGGGTGACTCATTAATCCATTGGGCAGAAACATCACCTGGACACGCCAGGTCTTGCTAAGGAAGTGAACATGAACAGTAAGCTTCTGAGATTCTCAGAGGTAGGTCCTCAGCACGGCTTTCCCACCTCACCCAGGCCACCTCTGAGCCAGGCTGGTGTCACCCCCAGTGCACCTCCTATGCATAGCAGGGGACTCTTTCCTCTCCAATCTCCAGCCTCCACACGGTCTTTGGGTTGGGCCCTGAGGTCGGGGAGCTGCAGAAAGCTGGGATGAGGGGCAGGCCTGGGGAACTGGCAAGATGTAGGGGTGCAGAAGCTGGGCTTGGGAGAAGAGCCCTAGCAGCAAGAGTCAAGGTCAGTGCCCCTGGCTGGGCCTCACGGCTTTTTCCTTCGTTGCCAGCGGCTTGCCCTGAGCAGGCTGTGGCAGACTGCAGAGGTCTCGCATGTCTACGAGGCTCTCTTGCACAGCTTTTGCAAACTTGGTGGAAGAGGTTTCTTTGCAGCTGTGAAAACTGGAGATGCAGAAGAGGATGGTCTCTGGCTGGGGGTTGTAGCAGGCACCATACCCATTGGGGACCACAGGACCGTAGCAACAAAACATCTCCATGGTTGTGGGGACCTGGACGGAGGAGAGGACAGGTCAGGAACTGCTTGCTTCAACACGCACCCCATGAGCCTGTTACAGCGGGGAGTTCCAACACCCAGGCCTTCACTGTGGCTTTGCTTCCCTGTTTTTCACCAGGGGGGTTGACTGAATTAACCAAATTGACCAATTGCTTCAGCATGGATGGCCACAGCCAGAATCATAATAACAAACTCTTCCAACTGCAGGTATCGGAGGGAGGAGGGTCACAAGTTCACTCCCAGGTGTGCAATCCGCTTTACTTGTGAAGTTAGAAGCTCCCAGAATGACCATGTGCTGGGTCTCAGGCTGAGTCTCCCCTTCACCTGGGGGTAGTTTGAGGCATGGAGGCAATCAGAGTAATTTACTAAATGGCACCCCTGGTGGCACCCAACACTTAGATGCATCCCAGAGGGAGTAATTTATGAACTGAAGGAAATCTGGCCCATCCTCTCTGTTGATTTTCCCCAGATCCTTAATTACTGTCAGTATCACCTGGATGCTCTGATTTGCTCCCCACAGCCTGGCCATGCACAATTACCCAGCATTGTGCGTTTCAAAGATTGCCGTCAACTGGAGTTTTAGTTATGTGCCTAATATGTTTTGAATTCAGAATGCTGAGATTTTGTAATTTGAATCTTTGGTCAGGAAAGTGTGTTTCTAAAGGTATTTGAGATATAAATACTACCTTCCGGTTGGAAAACTACAACAACAAAACCTCTATACCCCAAATTAATTTTATTAGCTTGTCCTAGGGGAAAAATAGAAAGGATTCTTGTGCAGGTGCAGAGCCTGATTTGTTTTAAACCCACAGGTTTCTGGTGCTATGTACTCAGGCCTTCGGAAGTGACACGGGCCATTTTAATGGGATAGAACAAACCATTAGTTTTACTAATAGAGTCATTGCATTGTCAGATAAATTTGCCGTGCAAATAGCCGAAGGCCATAAAGCCATTCCAAAGCACTTTTTGCCCATGGATGGTTTCCTGAAGAATTTATGTTGTTGTGTTCTGTCCTCGTTTATTCATGTCTGCACGCTCACTGCCGTAATGACAAAATCAAATTACTGAGTGGGCTTTTATCCTCACACACGGCTTTATCAGCCCCTTTTATTGCCTGTGTCCGGCCGTTCACAGATGAGGTAGAGTTTTAATAAATTGACAACGGTGGGGTATTTCCTCCCCTAAGCTCTCTTCTCTCTGGTGGATTTTGCTCTGTCTTTGTGACTGCGGTCCTCCAATGGAATGAGTAGTAATAGTTAGGAGACATTAGGCTGGTAGCTAAGCTCCTGCTGCTGGCCACTTGGCCCTTTATAACACCTGTGACCTATTTGGAGAGTCGGTCCATGCCAGGCCCTGGGCTGGGCTTTTTCCCTTCCGCATCTGGTTTAGCCAAGATGCCACTCCCACCTGCTGGGCATCACAGCCCATGGTCCCCATGGTGGAACACCACCTCTCAGGTGACAGATTGAAAGCCAGAATGGGTGTGTTCCCATGCTGTCTCCACTTGGGCTAAGGTGGAGTCTGTGATTACTCCCACTTAGAAGATGGGAGATCACCTTCCAATGGGCATTTAGATCATTTTGGTGAAGCTTGTGAGAAGCAGAGGCTCTAGCCACGAGCTCTTTAGAAAGGTCAGTGGTCGGGCTCCTCCTGGGTGATGACCACGCACGGGCTGTACCTGGCTGGTGGAGAGGACAAACCGGTTGCTCATCAGGTACGTTTCATCTGTGAACATCTCAGGCAGCTCCTTGCACAGGTCCCGGGCCAGCTCCCGCAGTGCCAGCAGGTGGTTGTCGATGGCCATCCCTGTTATGGCCTGGGTAGTTGGGGACAAAAAATAGGAGATGAGATGTGGGCTCCCCCACATCTCCTATTCCCCTCCTCCCTAGTCCACAAGACTAGTGGTGACTCCAGTGGCCACAGCTCGAGCTTTCCCAGTGCCTGCCATGGTCAATATGTGTGAGGGGCCACTCCGGTTTTCTCAGGACTGACCACTCTGTCTCTGCCTTTTGGACTCTTGTGTATTTTCACATGCATAGAATAAGGCCAGAGCAGGTTGGGTTCTCACTGGAGACGTCTGAGTTAAAGGCCGGTGAGTCTGAGTGCCTCCTGCATACCCACACCATAGCCATACTGTGCGGTAAGTAAGAATGGGGCTGGCATGGCCATCCTTGTTACAGCCTGCTCAGGGAAGGGTCAGGCTCTGGGCAGGGGCTGAGTGCTGAGCCCAACATTCCAAGCATCAGAAAAGACATCCCAGGCTGTTCTGGGCAGATTCTCACCAACCAACACTTTATCTTCCAGCAGGAGCCTAAGAAACAAGGGATAGAGAGCGTCATGCCTGTTCATCAATCTTGGCCGCTATTCTGTGGGCTCAGGATCAAGTTGATTAAACTGGATTCATAATTTGAGAACTGACTTAAAACTGGAGCTAGACATCTTAGCAGAGGCTCAGCTGATGGTTTCAAGGGGAAAGAGCTAGTTGGATGATGAAGGGTCTTTTTCTTGTGATCATAAAATATTTAAATTCTTATCAAAGAATAAGTCCAAGGATTATACAAGTATTCTAGCAGTGAAGGCTCCAGAATTTCAGTGTAGGAGGGACTTACGGGGGTTGGTGTGTCTGGGAGTGGGGCCAAGGTCCCCATGCTACATCTCCCTCATGCACATCTGGGCATGTAATATGCACACTGATTTTTTTGGACTATGTATTTATTTGGAGCAATCTTGGGGGCTGATGGGACTCCGGGGCCCACCCCTGATCTATAGCAATAATTTTTAGGTGAACACCAGGGTAATTGGGAGTAACTCTTGGTGTTTCACAGTTACATAAGACGGCCATGTCGCTGTTAAAGCCCCACACTGGAGTAAACTGCCTATCACAATGCACTTGGCTTTGGTTTACAAGGCACGTCTCGGGATTTGACAGCTGTTCTCATTCAGTTGAGAATAAATGCATAAAGTTAACTCAGAGGCCGCTGTCTCTCTGAACGCACCTAATTACAGGCTGGAAATATCTAGATGTGCCCTTTTAGGATAGAGGAGAAGAACCGTGAGTCCATGTATGAAGTAGACCACTCTGTTAATTTCTCTGCTTACTTCTATTTGATCCCTGATTTGTGTAGGTCCATGGAAGCAGCTGCTCTGTACAGCGGTCAGCTCATCCCTGTCTTCACCATCTCTGAACTAACTGTAGCAAGAGGGCTTGCTTTAACAGATCACTTGGCTTAGAGCTATAGGAGTAATGAGTAAATTGACTCAGCCTTCAGTCGTTCTATATTCATTTAGGGAATCTCGGTTGAGTTCCTATTATAGGCCTGATGCTGCCAGGTCTCTGGTTTCTGCCACAGCAGAGAACAAGGCATCATAGGCTCAGTTCTCAGTGGAGCTTATGGTGTAGTTGGGGGCAGATTCTCATCAACCAAGCAGATAAACATATGATCATTAACAGAGGTAAGTGCTAAGAAGGAAAAGTGTAAAGCTAGGGGGGTCCACAGGGCATCTGGACCACCCTGCCTGCCCCTCCTTCAGAATTTCCTTTCTCCAGGACCACGACCAGATATACTTGCTAGTTATCCGGAGGTTTTCTTTGTTCTTTTCCCTTTCCCTGACCCCACAGTCAACCAGGCACCAGATTCTTCTGAGCAAGTTCGTATTTCTTCTCTCCCTTCCTCATCTCTCTGATTCAGTTGTTCCCAAGTTAAAACCATTAGTACAACAGAACCCCATAGTAATGCCTTGGAGGATATTTTCCCATAAATTTTCATATATTTAAATTTGCTGTGAAAGTTATGTATTTATATGGTTTACAAATCCAAATAAGCCAAAGGCTTGGGTCCCTTTGCCAAGCACTGATTCCTACTCCACAGAGGCAAGAGACAACTACTTGTAGCGCTTTTTCGCTGTTTCTTTTTGGCATTTACTTTCATTGTTCCAAACACCCGCTTAGACTGTCATTCCTGCATTTCTTAGTTTCACCTGTAACCTTCTTGTCACGGAAGGTGAGACTTTACCTCTTTATGCCCTTGCTGCCCCCAAACGCATCTACTCTCCCATCCTCCCAATAGAATTCTGGTTTAACTTTTTCCTGTTTGATCAATATGCCGTATAATTACATACAGAGGTCCATAAACATGCTTATAATTAAGCCAGTGTTCATAGCTGGATCATGTAGTGTACTAGGATTAGATTTCCGTTCTTATTGAATTTTTTGCTTTCCCTAGAATTAACAAACTTTAAATTATGCAATCATGTCTTTTCCACTTGCTTAGCTCCCTGTGTAATCTATTTCTATTTAATTCCTGACTGGTCAGCCAGAATTTCATTCCTCCTCTTACTTTTTACTCCTGTAAGAACTAATTGCTCCCTAAGTCTGCTGAACAGTTGTCAATGTCTGATCTTTTACTGCCATCTGGGGAAATCCCACTACCTCTTTCTTTTAAATCTTCTGGTTCAGGGAGCCTTTGACTTCCTCTATTATGTTTTTATCTTCTCACTTTAGCAGTGTACATTCTCCGGTAACTTTGTGAGAAACAGTGCTTAACAAGAAAAATTTTTGAGACCTTCTTTGTCTAAAAATGTCTTTTTTCTACCTTCAAGTTTTATGACCATTTAGCTAGGTATGTAAATGTGTGCCGAAGGTCATTTTCCCTCAGAATTTGAAGGCATGCTCTCCTATCTTTTACCTTCCAATGATGTTATTGAGAAGTCAACTACCATGTTTATTCATGATCTCAAAATAGTAAACTCCCTGTTATCCTGAACTAAAGCAACCGGGATGCAACCCAGACAAAAATGAAAAATCAGAGCTTAAACTTGGTACCATACTGTCAGGAAGCCAACACTTTGTGAATCACTCCTGCAGCTGCCATGTGTTCTCTTTAACAGTTTTTTTTTTTTTTTTTTTTTTTAGAGAAAGAGTCTCACTTTATCACCCTCAGTAGAGTGCTATGGTGTCACAGCTCACAACAACTTCCAACACCTGGGTTTAGACAATTCTCTTGCCCCAGCCTCCCGAGTAGCTGGGACTACAGATGCCTGCCACAGTGCCTGGCTATTTTTTGTTGTTGCAGTTTAGAAGGGGCTGGGTTTGAACCTGCCACCCTCGGTATACAGGCTGGCGCCCTACTCACTGAGCCACAGGCCCCGCCCTCCACAACAGTTTTACATGTTCTGAGTTACTTGAAGTTAAAAAAATACAGTAGTGAAGTTGAAAAGTATGCTGACTGCCATTTAACTAAAATATACACTGCATTTACAAAGCTCTTTATAATACAGTAAAACTGTATTGCAGTAAATGAGGTTGGTCTTTGTGTTAATTTGCTTTTAATTAGTACATTTCAAAATTAATATCAAGTCAATACAGAGTTTATGGTATGGCATATAGAATTAGTTAGACCTATTTTTAATAATAACTCTCAAGCAACCAGAAACCACATTTATCTGGAATCTTCCAATCCCTATGGGTGCTGGATAAGGAGGGGATTATTGTACCTGATGTTTTTTTCCTCTGAGAGATTTTAGAATTTTTTTTTTGTCTTTAGTGTTATGAAATTTCCTTTGGTATAAGTATTTTCCATCTACTAAGCAAGGTACTTGGTGAACTCTCACAATAGGAAAACTCATATTCTTTAGTTCTAGGGAAATTTCTTGAATTATTTTGTTAACGATGGCCCCTCTACCATTTTCTCTTTCTGAACATCTATTATGTAGAATATTGTTCTCCTGGACTGATAACTCTTTTCTCTTCTGTACTTCGTCTCTTTGTTCTGATGGTTTTGGGGGGATATTGGTCCTGCTTATCTCCCAATTATTCCATTGAAATTTTTTCTACCATATTTTCCTTCAGAGTAAGTTTTATATCCTGAAAATTTTTATAGAGTTTTCTATTCTTTTTTTCTTTTCTTTTCTTTCTTTCTTTTTTTTTTTTTTTGAAACAGAATCTCATTATGTTGCCCTAGGTAGAGTGCCGTGGTATCACAGCTCACAGCAACCTCAAACTCTTGGGCTTAAGCAATTCTCTTATCTCAGCCTCCCAGTAGATGGGACTGCAGGCACCCACCACAATGCCTGGCTATTTCTTTTGTTGTTGCCATTGGCCCCGGCCGGGTTCGAACCCACCAGCCTCAGTGTATGTGGCTGGGGCCATAACCACCATGCTATGGGTGCCAAGCAGAGTTTTCTATTATTATATGAAAACAGAGTAACTTCTTTTATCTTTCAGAGAGTCCCGATGATCATTTTAAAAATATGTTCTCTTTTTCCTATATTTTCAAGTTTCTTTTAAATTATTTTATTTATTTACTTTTTCTGAGACGGAGTCTCACTCCACTGCCCTGGGTAGAGTTCTATGACATAATAGCTCACAGCAACTTCAAACTCTTGGGCTCAGGTGATCCTCTTGCCTCAGCCTCCCAAGTAGCTGGGACTACAGGTGCCCACCACAACGCCCAGCTAGTTTTTTCTATTTTTAGTAGAAATGGTGTCCCATTCTTGCTCAAGCTGGTCTCAAACTCATGAGCTCAGGCGATCACCTGCCATGCCCTCCTACAATGCTAGAATTTTAGGCATGAGCCACTGCACCCGGCTTTAAAATGTTTTAAATTAAGAGCTTTTAAAAATTAACAAAAGTGCCTTAGTCTTTTATGTCAGCAGCTTTCCTCATCGTCTGGTGATCTATGGCTCTCTGTCTATACTGAAGAATAAAGCACTGAAAATATGACTAGATTTGTGAGAACCTGTTGGTTAGCCTGTGTGCTTCATTTCGTGTGAGCTGACGGGGCTCTTTCACTGGGCTGTTATTTCTATGTTTTCTCTCTGGGCTTGCTCAGTTTCACCACAGAGGTAATCTAATCTGTGCTTAGGGAGGGGTGGTAATGAGGTGGTTCCCAGTGTCTATGGAGCTGAGTGGCTGGAAGCTTTGCTATGGAGGAAGCAGACGTTGATTAATGCCCCTATTTTTAGTATAGTATCATCTCCCTCGGCTGTGCCTGGTATCCTCAAATCTAGAATCCTTCTGCTTCAGCCTCTTCAGAGAATAAACTTTCAGCCCATCATTGGAAATGATGACGGGGTAGCAGTCTGGCTACAGGGGGTGTTAGAAAGGGTCTGAGGGTCTAACTGCTTCTTGCATAGATCATCAACTGCTATGGTTTGAATATTTTGGTCCCTTCCAAAATTCGTGTGTGGATGCTTTATGCCCAATGTAATAGTATTCTTGGGGAGAGGGGCTTTTAAGAGGTGATTAGGTCACGAGGGCTCCTGCCTCATGAGGGGGGTCAAGGCCCTTATAGACGTAAAAGAAGCTTCATATAAGGAGGTAGGGGATTGGGGTCACAGGGTGTGACACACCTCTTGGAGGTGGGACGTAGTTATAAGAGGGACTTTACCTAACAAATACAATCAGCATAACCTAGTTCTCTGTATCCTCAAAGAACCCCCAACAATACAAAAAAAAAAAAAGAAGTTTCACATAGCGTTCGGCCCTCTTGCCTTTCTACCTTCTGGCAGATGAGGACACAGCGTTCGCCCCCTCTAGAAGACACAGCATCAAGGTACCATCTTAAAGTGGAGATGAACAGCTCCTACTCCCAGACAGTTACGGTCAGATACCTTCTAGGGCCTTGATCTCGGACTTCCAGCCTCCACTCCAGAACCGTGAGAAGTAAATTTCTGTTCTCTGTAAATTTACCCAGTCTCAGACGTTTTGTTACAGCAGTACAAACAGACTTAGACATCAAGCCAACTGTTTTCTTTGCAGTCCCCCACACCTCCACTCTTTGGCCCAGTGCCCGGGCCATCCTAAGGTTCTGCAGTGTGGCTCACTGGGCTCCCAAGCTGCTCTCACTGTTCCCTGTGCCAGTCGCTGTGTGTTCTACTTGCCTGCTCTGGAACTTCGTGGTCACCTCTTTTCCCATGCTCTTGGCCCTAGTATGAGTATGGTTTAGAAAACAATTCCTTGGTTATTGTCTTGGAGAGTCTCAGAGTGCTGGTGACTCTGTGCTCTGTTCATGATGTAGAGTAGGAGTTCTCTTCACCCCTGCCCTGTTCTACCCCAGTCCTACACTGGCTCTCCGGCAGTATCAGGAAGGTTTCTATTAGTGGCTCTGCCTCTCAGCAAACCATCCAACCAGTCCCTCTTGTACCCAGTCACTGGAGTGTGCTGTGTGATGGGGAAATCCGACCTCTGCTCCCCTCCTTTGTGAGCTGTACCCACTGCGCTACGTGCTTTTTCTTGAATGTGTCCTGTTCTCTCAAGACTCTTTGCCTTTGCACATGCTGTTCCCTTCTGGGCCACGTCTCCCTTCTATGTGTGCCTGATAAACCTCTCTACCCCTCTCCTCACATCTCATAGTAAACACCACTTCCCCAGGGAAGTCTTCCTGGCATTCCTAACCTCAGAAATGAGCTTGTCTATCACATTCTCTGCTGCTTCCTGAGGGCTATTTTCATGGAGTTGGGCTTCATGTCAGTGGGCCCCTTCTCCCGACTACACAGTCAGCTGCCTAAGCATAGGGCTTACTTACCGCATTTTTTGCTTCTTAGCACCCAGCACCTTGCCTGGCATAAAGCAGGAAGGCAAAAAATGCCCACTGAATACATGACAGAGTGCTTAATTTTTCCCAAGCAGAAAAGCATGTATCTATTTAGATGAATTAGGACCCTAGCAATGGAGTTGGAGAAAAGTCTACATTGACTAGTTCTAAAATTTCAAAATACACTGTACTTACTTATAAGTATAAAGAGTGAATTTTGGTCAACTCCTTTTCATAGATTATGTGATCCTTCAAAGACTGTATTAGAATGATTTGCACTTACTGTATTGCTCACTGGCCAAGTAGTTGCTTATTCTCTATTGTTTGTATGCTGATGATGGCTTTGCAGTGCCAGAAAATAAACGATTTCCCCAAGCCAGGGAAACATTCCCCTTACGATTTTGATTTCACTATTAATTTTTAGCAAAGACTTTTTATTCATAGGGAGTATAAATAAATACACAGAGAGCAAGAGGCAAAACTAGCCCCAGGTGGGAATAACTACCACCATGATTGAGATCGGACACATTGACTTCTCTTGTTTAAACTGTAAAGTGCTGTACATATTAGATGCTATCATTATTGTTATGATTGCTTCAGAGTTTCCAATATCACTCATCGTATTCTTATAAAACTCATAAAAAAAGCAAGAATGGCCTATTACTTGGGTTCTAAAAATAATAAAAAGGAGGCTGAGAAGTGGGGAGGCCTTGCTAAGTCACCAGGTAGCTAGCAGCAGGGCCCTCACACAGGGTCTTGTGCTGGGGCCCCGACTCTGCAGGCCCTGGGCACGCTAGGATGCTGGGGTTGTGAGGCGGTGTGGCACCACTCACCATCACTGTGTACTCGGTCTGGGACCGGATGGCATCCTTCAGAAGCAGCAGCCTGTCCGAAGCCTATCAAGAGAGCAGAACGGCAGTACACAGGGCTTCCAGAAGCTGCTCAGTGACAAACAGATGCAAAGGAACCCATAGTGGCCTCACTGGCCTCCTGTGGCTCGTCAGCAAGGGGCAGGACTTACTGGCACGGCGGCCTTGTGGTCAGTCATGGCCTTCACAAAGGTCAGTGCCTCTGGAGTGGCCGATCGAATGTTGTCCACTCGTCCCTCCTGGAATCGGCGAATGGACGCACTCTCGTAGGTGGGCACCAGTTTTCGGTGGATCCTGCATTATGATGAAGGTTGGGTGGAAAACCATAATTTATTCTCAGGGAATCATTAATGCTGAGAGAAAAATAGCCTCAGCAGCCTTTCTTGTCCCAGTCCTGGCTTTCCTTGGCATAGTATTTCATTTTAATGCTAATGGAGTTCTAGAGAGGAATTCCCCAAGATGGACGCAGGCGTCTCTAATATGGAATGCCACGTGCACTTTGGTACACTGGGGACACTGCGTTGATAGAAAATAAAGACGACACTGGTAGCTCTTAAAAAGAATTCCCAGTCTAGGGGAAACCTAGACTTTTCTGTGAGACTGGAGTGTTTGATTAATAGCACAGAATGGAATAATTGTACAATTAATCATTCACACCCTTGAGGGGAGCCTGTTTTATTTAAAACCTTTCACGCATGACCCCTGGTTGGAGGAGGGGAGGGACCTTAATGGTGGTGGGTTTAAGCTGCCGCACAGGCCACCCTTCCAGGAGCGGGCTCCCAATAGCCCATGGGCACTCCCTGACGTCTGACTGCCTGGCCTGGCAGGGGAAGTCCCTTTTCTCGCGCATGGAAACAGGGTAAAGAGGTGCCTGCTCCTGAGTGAGACTCCTCACCTGGCAAGTCTAGGCTTGTACACCTGGCTGGTGCATCCCCTTTCTCACCAGTCAGTAAAGTCTTTGGTGCAGCGATAGGGGAAATAAGACATAGAGCTCAGAGAGGGGGCAGTGACCGCCCAGAGTCACACAGCACATCGTGGCCCTGCGTCTCAGCTCTCCAGGGGCACTGGGTGGGCTCCTGGAGGGGGAGGCCGGGTCTGACTCTGCACCGTTCATGCACCATCGTGCTTGGTGAACAAGGAAATAAGCTTGTCATATTATTTCCCCAACACCAGCTAGGAGCTCCCTCCTGTGTCTCTATGGTCCCCAGAGGTGACACCATTGCTGGCCAGTCACTGACCAACCCCTTCAATTTAGGTTTCTGCTGAATCTAGAAGCAGATCAAAGCAATTGTTCATGTTACAATTTAGACTCTTAAGAATGCTATCGTGGGCTTAGTGCCTGTGGCTCAAGGGGCTAAGGCGCCAGCCACATACACCTAAGGTGGCGGGTTCGAATCCCCAGCCCGGACCCGCCAAAACAACAATGATGGCTGCAACCAAAAAATAGCCAGGCGTTGTGGCAGGCACCTGTGGTCCCAGCTACTTGGGAGGCTGAGGCAGGAGACTCGCTTGAGCCCAGGAGTTGGAGGTTGCAGTGAGCTGAGATGCCATGGCACTCTACCCAGGGGGACAGCTTGAGGCTCCTGTCTCAAAAAAAAAAAAAAAAAGAATGCTATCGTGGGAAGCAGGTCCTATTTGGCTATTCAGTGAGCCCAGGATCTCTGGCTAGGTCCACTCTTGGCCTTGTCCAGTGACAGTGTCGGAGGTGAGGAGGGGAGCGCTGTGCAGGCCCCTCCAGCTGTGGATCTGATCTCCCCTCCCAGCTGTGGATCTGAAGTGCTCACAGCAAAGGGTCTTGGTGTTGTCCTCAGTCAGGGCTCCTGCAGGACACTAGCATCATGGCCCACTCAGCCTGGTGCACTCTGAGGGTCATGAGTATTGATCACAGCTCTAGTGGCAGGTAGTGTCTCAGTGTTGGTGAGGTTTCTACATCTGTGTCTCCTGCAAGCCCAGTTGTCCTCACAAGGGGTGACATCAGCCTTCCCCAGAGTATCTCGATAGGACGATTGCCCAGAGTGGCTGTGTTCACCTCCCTGAAAGGCCCAGTCAGTCCCACAGGGAACCCGGGGCGCAGTGTTTGCACTGGCACTGCCTGGTCCTGAGTGAGACTCCTCACCCACCTAGCTTCACTGGAGGATCACCTGGTTTGCAGTCTGCCATGGATGCTGCAAAGTAAAAGCAGGTTCCAGGGACAGCACTGTGCTCTCTGAACAGGGCAGTTTATGAGCCGCTGCTCCTGGAGCCCTGGAACCTGGCAGGGGTTGGGGTGGGGGGAGGAGGGCATGGAAGATTTATTTTGCATTTTGGGGTTTCTTCACCTCCTAGGAAGCTGACTGGCCCCTCCCCCTGCCTTCACCCTGGTCTCTCTACTCTAACACATGGAGAACAGGACTACCTCTGGACAGCTTTTTCTAAATCCCAGCCCTAGCCAGGCTGGCCCCGGCTAAACCTCACATCTATGATTCAGTCCCAGGGCCTGCTCTGTACCAGGCATGGTTCAGGCACTGGAGACACTGCCAAGATACCCAGAGTGTTGGGGTTGGTTGTGGGACTGTGTAGAAAATAAAGTCAACAAATCCATCAACAAAGTACTTCATGGGAATAACAGCTGCCTTGAAAGAAAATGAAAGTACAGTGGGAAAAGTAGAGGACAGAGTGGCTGCTTCAGACCAGGGGGTCAGGGAGGGATCTGGGTGAGACTGGGGCTGGCAGGAGCCTATGGGGGAGGTATGGGGGGCGGATGTTAGCAGAGGCGGGGCAAAGGTCGGGAGGCCCCAGGTGTGGCCAGGGCACAGGGGCACTGCTCAGCCCGGCCCTGCTTTGTGTGTGTTGTGAAGCCACCCTGAGGTTGGCTGTGGTGAGTGATCTAGTCGCATTTGCATGTTTCAAAGTTCAAGCTTCCTGAAGTCAGGGCAGTGAGGGGACATCCTGGGAGTGTGTTGCAGTTGCCCAGGCACAAGATGAGGTGGCTGGGGGAGGGGCTGATGGTGGTGAAGGTGGAGGACTCAGGACAGTTCCAGAGCCCTGGGGAGAGAGCTGATGTGGAGGCTGGGGGATGAGAGGAAGGGGCAGGTCAGGAGGAGGCCAAAATGTTTGATTCGGCCAGTCAAGGGCTGCTGACCCATTTCCTTGGCGGGTTGGGAAGAGTAGGGAGGAACAGGCTACAGCCACAGGGTTCTGGTGGAAGGAAGAACAACCTCTTCCCCCTGGAGGTCCTCACGGTGGCCCTCCCAGGTCTGTGCTGCAGCCCCTCGGAGCTCAGCGCTCCTGGCCCATCACTCAGGCAGTTCCCTGAGGCCACACCCTTCCGTTTCCTTCCTGAGGTTGGATTTATACTTGAAACCCAGTTTGAGTGGCGCCTCCTTCCTCGCAGTCTGCCTCACTCCCTCCCCAGTCCCCTCGGTCCAGTGAAGGTCATACTTCTGTCCAGGGAGCCTCTGGACTCCGGAATGAGAGCACCTGTCAGCCAGCCCAGCTGGGCACAGGTCCACGCTGCCTTGGCTCACCTGTAGAAGGCCAGCTGCAGGGCCACCTGGATGAAGGCATCAGGGCTGCATTTCTGCTGCTTAATGAATGTTTTCCCATAGCTGTCAAATTTATAAACAGTGAAGTCGAGATTCTTTACTATTCTGTGGGAGGACAAAAAAGAAGCTTTTACTGCATGTAAAATAGAACGCCTGCACCACAGAGTCCAGCGGGTTTCCCGAGGCTGGTCCATGTCCCTGCCCTCCAGGAGCGCACCGTGGTTTCAGAGACATGTCTGGGCCCACATAAGTGGCGGGAAGTACGCCAGCCCTGGTCTACTCTATGCTGAAGATGAGCTCAGTTGGGCAGGGTGACCACATTCTGATGGTGGGTGGGGAGGCGGGCCTGCTGCAGCAGTACGGGGCAGGGAAGGGCACAGGGGTGAGAGGCATTGGCACGGAGGACACAGGGAACGCTGCCCACAGACAAAATCTGAGCCCACTGCCCGTGTAGCAGGCCTGACAGAGGCCATTCATCCAGCCTGCTGCAGATGTGCCTAGCTCTCCATGGGTTCCTTCAGCATCTGGCTCTCCCTGCAGAGCTCAGATGGCCACAGCAGCATCTCCAGAGACTCAGCCCTGCAGTGCTGGGGGAAGAAAGGCCTGGGACCTAGCCATTTGTCACCATCACCACAGAGAGAGTGGCTCATCTGGTCCTTTGCCAGTGGCTGGAAACCCATTTTACCCAGAAATTGTTGATGAGCCTGTGACATGAGGGCCTTTGTCATTGTCAGAGCGAGAGGAAAACCCCGAGTCCATGCTGAGGCTCTTGAGCACTGGCTGCCCCCATGCTGACAGATCTCCTCCTTCAAAATGAGCTTGGAGTCCGTGCTGACTGCCCATTACAGCAGGGTCCAGCAGGGTCTACCTGTCTGCCTGCCAGCAATGTGGGAGTGCAGAGCCCTGGGTGGACCCTGAGCCCTTCCCTCAGGACTCCATGCCCCTGCCTGCCTCTCATTGAATCACTCCTCCTACCTCACAGGAGCTCAGCTCTCTGTAGGCCACACCAGGTGCTAGGGACCCAGGTGGGCTCAGAGGGGGCCTAGTTCTCTTAGTCCCACCTGCTAACAGACTCCTTGGACAGACTGGCTGTCACCACAGCCCTTTGGAGACCTCTTCCCAGCTGTGTCTGCTCAGACTCCACCCCTTTCCATGAATGTTCAGCACCCCTGAGGCTCCTCCTGTGTCCCCACCTGCAGGCCTCTTGGACTCCCCTCATCACTGGTGGCCTCTGAGCATGTGGGGTCTGCTGAGGTCCCTGAAAGTGACAGACTCCTTCCTCCCCCAGGACTCCCCAGCCCACCAACTCACTCCTCTAGCAGCTGACTTTCTCCTGAACACTCCCATAAAATGTTGATGCCAGCTTCACTTTGTAGAAAAGCCAAGGTGTCTCCCTCCCCAGCAGCTGTCTCCCCAGCCTGGCCGTACTCTCTCTGCTTACCTGAGCTGTCCCCATAGTCTCCTCACTGGCTCCCCCCAAGCCCTGGCACAGACTCCTCCAGGGGCTCTGCACCACCCACAGGGCAGGCTCTAGCAGGTCCCATCAGAGAATAATGAAGCTCTTTACAGTGTGGCCCCCAACTTCCCTTCTGTGCCCCAACTCTGGCCATTCTCTCACTTGCTGGTCTCCAAACCAGCCTGGATAATTATGAACTTATACAGACTTGAACAAGCTGCTCTCTGCCTCTTGCCTATCAGCCTGCACCATGAACTCCTATCCAGCCTACAAGGACCATCTCTGTGAAGCCCTCCATCATTCTCCTGGCAGAATTCAGCTCCTATCTCTCTGTGGATTCAGATCTGCATGGTTTTCCCTGGTTTGGGTTATAATCTTACTGCATCATATGTTTTGGTCTGGGGTCTACTCCCATTAAAGCATAGAGTGATGGCCCCAGGTACAGACATTGCTGTGAGGCTGGCATGTGTTTGATGAATGAATGAAAGATAGTATTCATGCTCACTTACCAAATGAGGGAATGAAAAACCACAGTCCCTCAGCTACCACCACAGCTGGATACTGCCCCAGCACCTGGCCTACCCAGACTGGCTCCCACTCATTCCAGGTCCTTCTGCCTGGGTTCCGTTAGGGCCTGAATGGCACCCCCTCCCCTTGGGGAAAAAGGACCCCTTGTCAAGTTGCAGTGTAAATTCAAGCAAATTGAAATAGCTTGGATTCAAATGACCTAGTCAAAATAGTTGTTTATTACTCCCTGAAAGCAGGGGATGATTTCTTGGCTTGACTCTGCTCAGTCAGGTGGAACCTGCCAGAAAAAAAATAGCTCCACGTTTGCATTTTATGGAAATAATAGATACTTCAGCAAGGTTATTTCCCCGAGAGTTCTAATTCTCCTTTTGTTTGACTACATTTCCATGAGGGTGGGGATGGGGTGGGGGTGAGGGCTAGCAGAGGAGCTGGGGTCTTTGGAAACTTGCAGGGTGCCTCTGCAGCTGGGGGTGGGGGGCAGGTGGCCCCCAGAGGACCACCTCAAGGGAGACTTTGGCCTGTCCTTACTGTTGAAGTTTTTCTGCTGAGGAGGCTAAGTGGCCTTGAATTTCCGGGGAGCATTTCCACCTCAGCCTCCGGGGTGCAGGGAGCTCACTGACGGAGTCTGCTCGGATCAGCTTCTTGCTGCTGTTCATCCTGCGGGCACAGAGAGGGACCCCACGTGAGGCCCCGCCACCAGAGAGCCAGGGGTCTGCACTGATTCTGCCCTCTGCAGCCATCTGAGCTGTCGATGCGTGTGGCTGTGCAGTTTCAGGGGGGCCAAGCTGCCCCTGAGCCACTGCACAGATGAAATAGACCGAGGTTCAGAGAGGCCCCCACTATTAGTATGTGGTAGAGACAGGGTCCATCCTATTCCACCTAACTCCAAAAGCAATTATTTCTTTTCATTTTTTTTTTCCTGTTAAAGCACATTAGAGCACTAACACTTATATAACACTTGGAAAGACACGAGAGCAAGCTGTGTTGTGTCCCCCAGGTGGGGTTCAGTTTCAGTGACCCTAAAGAGTCATGTGGAAGAGACGGAGTGAGGACTTGGGTGCAGGGAGAAGATACTCGGAGTGAATGGGCACATTTGTGACTGGAGGAAGAACATTGTGTGTTTACGGCCCAGAAAAGCTTCTGTCAGGCCAACTTGGAAGCTAGAAAGTGACCAGCCCTGGGGACCCCCCATGCTATGTCAGCAGTTAGCCCAGTTCTGACTCAGGACAAATAACAGGTACCAATCTTGGCTTCCCCTCTGCTTAGGCAGAGGTTCCAGGGAATTCCTCGCCACGCCTCTCCCTGATGGCCTTAAGATCTGTGCCTCCTACCCATGGCCCATGAACTGCATGATGTCTCCTTCTAGCTGTGTTTCAAGTTTACCCTTCACTAAGACACACTGTAGACTGACACACCCCCAGTGGGCATCCCGATTCTTCCAGGCCCAGCATGGTGGCCCTGGCAGCCAGCCCTGCCCCGACTCACATGTGCTTGAGCAGGTGCTCCGTGCACTGCACCAGGACGATGCCATCGAATGGAGAGTGCTCACACACCACACCACAGGTGCCGTCTCGGCCCACCACAAACTGCAACAGGGAAGAGGGAGTGGGTGGACCCTGGGACAGCCAGCATTTCAGGTCAGGTCCCCTAGATTCTCAGGGGCACCCTTCCGTAAGGACAACAACACACTTGTATGTGACTGCAGCAGCCTGAGAACATGAGAGTCTCAAGACAGCTCTAAAAACTGTGCCACCTCCTCCCATGAAGGTCTGGGTGGTGAAGATGGAGGCCCAAGTTCCCTGGCTGAGGCAGTGCAGGGATTCCTGATGAGCTCAGTCCGAGTCTGCGCACAGCATCCGAGGGGGCGTGGGCAAGCTCTTTCCACCTCTCAGCCCTCTGTCCTCTTCCCAGCCATCATCCTGCATTGGTGCTTAGGTGACTGTCTGTTGCACCCTGTCTGCTTTGGCCACCACTGGCTTTATTTGCAGGACCTAGACCAGAGTCCACTCTATAGTACGTGCTTAATAATTTTGCTGAATGAGTGAAAATAAAAAATAATGACCTGATTTTGAATGTTAAGCAGATTCCTAGGGAGAGCTAAAATGGCCCCCACAGGTAAGTGACAGTTGCTCTGTGAGGTGCTGCCTGGGCTTTGAGTCAGGGACCCAACTCCTAGTTCTGCTCTTGGTGACAGGCACTGGGAAAGTTTCGAAGATACTTTAGCTCTCTGGACCTCAGTTTGCTCTCCTTGAAAATGGCCCAATGAGGCCCAGTGCATAGGCTGAGATGAGGAAATGGGGGGAGTGTACAAGGACCCACAGGACCAGTAGGGATCACGTATGACTTTATAAAGACTATTTCTAGAATAGGAAAAGGAGCATCCACTGTGCATGAAAGTACTGGGAGAAAATAACGAGAAGGACAAGATTTGGTCCCTAAAGTGTAACCCAGATAAAGCAGGGCTGTCTTGTAGCTCATCACACTCAAGAGATCCTAGTTCTCACACCAAAAGAACAAAACAAAACAACCAGCCCTTGAGGTCTTTACTAAAGTCTCTTCCAGGGCATTGCACCACCCCTAGCCATGAGCTGCCTCTCCCCACATCCGCCCCCATCTCTCACATCACATACCAGAGGCCTGTGATCTTTACTCACACTCTTAAAACAAACAGACTTCCAACAGAGCTTCCCAAACCCAGCCCTTGCAGGCTCTTTCCTCTCCCCAGCGTCCCCTGCCCTTCTGTCCCAAGACCAGCCTCCATCCTCTTGAATTCAGGTCCATGGCACCTTGCTGGCTTCTCCAGCTCAGCTCCAGAGTAATCTGTCCTGTCCTTGGAAAGAGCCTGGAGGTCAGTACGGACTCACCCACAGGAGGTGGGGACGTGGAGAAAGCGTGCCCACTCTACATACATGCTTTTCTGACCCTGTCTCTAAAAGGAAGGGAGGGAGGCATTGTCTTTTGGAAATGGCTACCCAGGCTCACCATTCTCTGGGTCTTGCATGCGTCCCTTACATCATTAACCCCCACAGCTGCTCCGTGAAAGATGACAAGACATTAGCACCACTGTGGAGGCTAAAACAGTTGGCACGGCAGCAAGAGAGCTCGTCAGAAGTAACAGAATCAATACGGAAGCCAATAAAAAGGAAAACCTGCAGATCATAGGGACAGATGGGGGGAAAATGAGGTGCTGCCTAGACGTGCTTGTCTATGTGAGCTAAGCGAACTCACAGTGGAGAGACAGTTTGCTATGCTTTTCTGTGGTCATTGTGAAAGTGCAGTGACTTTACAAATAAACAAGGCTAGATTCAGGAAGGGCATGTTGAGGGGAAAAGGATGAAGGAATGGAAATTAATGGCCCGACTGTGATGTCATCTCGTCTGATGGGTATCTTTCTATAGATCATTGTAAATCTTGTTTCTAGGCTTCTGTCATGTGAATGAAAAAATATGAATTATTTCATTTCATTTTAGGACTTTTCTTCTGCAGAGATGTGGGGTGCCTGACTCAGGGACTGAGGGAGATGTATTGAGGTAGCCAAGCCTGGGCGGTAGGCAGTTAGAAGGCCTGACAGGGCTGGTCTCTGTCCTGCTAACAGAGTGATTGCTTTTCCCACCTTCTGATACCAGGTGTGGGAGCATCAGATGTGATTTCTGGGCATCAGATGCGATTCTTGCCAAATGTGTTCAGGACGCGTTCAGTGGGCTGGTGCATGCTCTCGCCCTCGGCATGTCCCCACCTTCCAGTGTGACCTGGACCTTCCTGGCACAGGCTGCAGGAAGGCTAGGGAGTTTGAACTAGGTTTGCCCATTTGCTCCTGAGAAGAGTTCTGGCCAGTCAGGAGGTCGACACCAATAGCATCACTCTGACCTCCTTTGGCTCCCCTGACCCTACCAGATCCCAGGCACCTGACTCCAGCCAGAAGCAAGCACGTGCTGGCTGTGAGCGTGACCATGCTCTTACGGAGCCTCCAAAGTGGGGCTTACCTGAAGGGACTTGTCGTACCAGCGGTTTGCCCCGTTCTTGCTGCAGCCTCCACCGTGAAGGAGCTGGAGCGCCCTGTTGGTGTCGCTGAGCTCCACACCTCCCGGGGCATCCAGGCACACGAGGCAGATGCAGCGCTCGATCATGTCCAGCGAGTCCCGGTTGGTGGAGTCTGCAGGGCAGGCAAGCATGGCCTGAGCACCTGTCCCACCCCAGGCCATGCGGTCCCCTCTACAGAGCCCCACACATGACAGGGCAGCCCTGTTTTCTGGGAACACACACAAAGACTCAGATCTTGAGCCAGCCCTGACCTGCTATGGGTGGGCAGTGAAGTCAGCCAGACTGTCCTGAACCTGGGTGCTACCCAGTGGCCCAGCTCACTCTCAGCATCCCTCCAAGAGTCCTGCCCTCTAGCTGCCACCAGTTCTGCCCCCAGACATGTGAGTCATTGGTCCTTCCCACCAGGATGAAGGGGGATGCTTGGATCCTCAGGCCAGCCCACGTGAGCAGAGGGCCCCCACTCCCCCCATGCAGCAGCACCCTGCATTCTGGCACCTATGAGCCACATCTATGAGTAGGAATGTGTATTTGTTCTGAACTATGACTTTCAAACATTTAAATTAGCTATTGAAATAAAATTAGGCAATTTCACATGAAAATCTAAAAGAAGGGCATTACTTGCCCCACCCCAATGTTGTTAGCTTAGAGGCCAAGTTGCAGGCAGAAGGGATGGGCTACCCTGGACACATCTGGATGAGCTCAGAGGGGCTGTTTGAGGCACAAGGAACTCATCAGCACAAAGACTACAAGCCACCGAGGTGGGCAGGGACATGTCACAAGGGAGCCCCAGGCCTGGACCACAGCTTGCTTCACACGTTTACCCACTAACAAGTCCCAGGCTCAGGATCCTCTCCTATAGGAAGGGGGCTTTGCCCAGTGGCACTAGAGGAATACAGACAAGGATGGCTTTTCAGGAGGGGAAGTTAGGTACAGAGGACTTGGCTCCTCCACTGGGGCCACACATTATTTCCTCCAGGAAACAGTCCTGCCATCCCGCCAACAGGATGCCCCAGATAGCCTCCTCCCCAGGCTCGGGGAGGTTTGCAGACCCCAACCAGTGGGGCCTGATCATGAACAGGGCCGTTCCTGGTGTGTGTTTCCTCTTCTTCCAAACAGGGATCTCTGTCCTGCTAACAGAGTGCTTTTCCCATCTTCTGATACCAGGTGTGGGAGCAGACAGCTTGCCTTTTGGCTTAAAGTTCATTAAAAGTTAAATAGTCAACCAAAACCAAAGTAACATTTTAGCTTAAAATTCCAAAGAGTCACATGGAGACCAACTAGTGATGGCTTCACGTTACCCAGAGATCCTGACCTCTGGGCTAGATGCTGTGACAGGATGATGAGGCACAGTTACTTCCCAGCCCAGGGCAGGGGTGTGAGTGTCCTCTGCCTGGGAAGATGGGGCACATGATATTTGCATCTGAAGGGGTAGAGACTGGTTGCTGCATGCTGAATCCTCCCTCCCCTTGCTCATAGGACCCCTGTTTTTTATCTTGGTACATACACAACAAACTAAAGCTCTATCTCCCATCCTCCCTTACAGCTAGGGTAACCAGGTGTCTAAATTCTGCCAATAAGATCTAGAAACACGATATGACAGCTTCTGGGGGAACCTCCTTAAAGATGTGATAACTAGCACATGCTATTGTTCTTTCCACCTTCCACCATCCTGCTGCCTGAAATGCAAGTGTGATGGCCAGAGCTCTTGCCTTCCTTGGGCACGTGGAGAGCTCCCCCTCTCAGTGTGGTCAGCCAAGCCCCAAGATGCTTTTGTGTGTCTCATGAGTGCCTGCTGGGTACACAGATACTAAGGCACCTGTGCTGGTCTCTGTACCTCCCAGGTGATTTCTCCAGGTCCACGAGAGATGTCTACTGGTGCCACTGCCTGAAAGGACCCTCAGCCCCAATCCGTTCCCTTCCTCATACTTATTGCAAATCCTGGGGGCAGGAGGTATCTCCCATAGCAGGCTATCCACTCTGGGGGCCAGCCCAGCCTTGGGACATCTGTTCCTCCTTCCTGTCTAGGATGAGGCTGTGAGGAGTCTTGTACTTTCAGGACCCCTTCAGGTCCCTTAGGAGGCCAGGAGGCCGTCTCACTTCTGCAGAGCCTTTTGGGCTTCTCTGCCTCAATCTGACCAGCAGCAAGGCATTGGCCATGCCCTGAGGGTCTAAGGTAAGTGAGAGTGAGTCCCCTTCCTGTAAGCTCCGTGAATGTGGTGCCGTCACCATGTCAGAACAGCTCCTACTGCCCACAAGGGAGATTCCGAACTTCCAAACACAGCACCCTGGGCTCCACAACTCCTTCTCCACTGCCCCTCAGGTCACCATCTACCCTCCCCGCATCCCTGCATCCCTTCTTGAAACCTCCTGCCATCCCCTGATACCTGTACGCATTTCTCTTCCTGTTCCCAGGACGGGGGCCCTTCCCCTGCTCTGCTTGTCAAAGCCTTCCCAGAGCATGGCACCTTCACAGGCTGCTCAGCACAGATGGGGAGCCTCACTCTGTCCATTAGGCCTCACATAGAACCTGAGCCCAAAGCTGGACATGCCCCTCTCCACCCACCACCCTATATGCACAGTGTGTGACCCCACCACAGTCCCAGACACACACGCTTCAGGTAGTCACTGCCTGTCTGGCACCTACAGACCTTACAGCCCTGATCTGGTGCTCTCCCCTGATGTCTATGAGCTTTCTGAGAGCAGGGCCTGGGTCCCCGGCACATGGTGGGCTCAGGAAAGTGTCCATGGACTTCAGTGTGTTTCTGTTGGCGTGGCCTAGGTGAGGCTGGGGTTGGTGTGCCCAGCTTAGAGATGGGGCTTAGATGTGCTCACTGGCTAATGGGAAAGGCCCATGCCCTTCTGAGGGACAAAAATCCACAACTTTTGCAGCCTTGAGGTGGGAGAGTGGGGGAGGATGTGAGACTGGGACAGTGCTCGAATTTCTCTGCCTCTGCAAGGCTTCCTACTCTGCCCCTCTCTCCTGCAGTAGGTATCCCTGCAGATGACTGATGCTCAGCCCTGCACTGTGCTAGGGGTCCATGCAGATGCCAGGGCTAGCTGGCACCTTCAAGGAATGGAGAAGTCTTGGCCAGGCCTGGGTCGGGTTCACATCAGCAGCAAAGAAGGGAGAAGCATAGGGATGTTACAGTGCAGGGGAGGGGAGGCTTGAAGGACCAGGAGCAGATTCTCAGGCTTGTAGGTGGAGATTGTGAATGATTAGCTTGACTTATAGCTTGTGAGTATGGCATGCAGGTTTCAGGTGAGGCTGGAAGAACACAATGATATCATGTTATTAGCTAACCTTTATTGAGCACCTACTATGTGCCAGGTGTCCATTTAAACATGCATATTGATGCCCATGAGATAGGCATTGCTATCATGCCTCATTTACAGGTGAGCAGGAGGTGAGCATTCACAGATGAGGCCATCTGCAAGGCTTTACCTCTAAAGAGGGGATGATAATAATAATAATCATCCAGGAAATAGAGGGAGCTGGGTTTGATCCCAGCCTCAATGCCTAGGTTCACCACAAGGGCTGTCATGCCTGGCTCAGTAAGGTGACTTCATCCAGAAAATACAGGGAGTCACTGAAGGAACATGGGCAGAGCTTGATGTGGTCAGATCAGAGTCTAGAATACCTGGCAGCTGGGGGACGGCATGGTTTGGAGGCTGGCCAAGGGGCCATGGACAGCAAGAACACCTTGATTCTGCTGGCAATGCCTTGGCAGCTGCCTTCACCAAACATTCCTTAACAACAGCCCTGAGGCCAGTGTGGAGTGGCCAGATTGCAGCTCCCTAGGAGGCCTGCAGCAAGCCTATCCAGCCAGGAGGTTGGGAGCAGGCCTGATGCAGCCTCTGGGCAGGACAGCAAGGACTGTAAGGCTGGCAGCAGGAAAAGATAGCTCCCTGGGCATCAGTGTCCTGGCCACCTCCAGGCAGGAAAGATGGGTCCCTGAGGAAGGACTGAGTCCCTGGCATCACATGCGGGTTGTGTGGGGCCCAGGAGCTCGGCATCACCCAACAGGAACCAGGTCCTGGCTCATTAGACAGAGTGAAATGGGAGCAGGACAGCAAAGCTGGAAGCCAGGTGGCCTTGCAAATGAACTCCCTGCATATAAGTAGCTGATCGGTCAAATGCTGACAAGTTTATCTTGTAAGGCAGAAAATGAACTACACCCAAACTCATCCACCATGACTCTGGCCCAAATGTAATGGAAACACGGGGCAGCAGACTGGAGGCGCACGGCAGGAGCCGTTTGTCTTGTGGCATCCTCATCAAGCACATCGAGGCTCATTTAAAGTGGTAAATCAATCTTCCTCAAGGAGCCCCTGCTTAACAGTGAGAGGTGGGAATTGAGTAATAGGAGGAGCTTGCTCTGATACCCACGCCGGGGGAGCTGACAGCTTCGATGGTGCGGAAATTCCAGAGGCCACAAGGCCTTGGGGAGCTCTGGGGCTGGAGTTAGAGGTTAGAAAGTTACAGACTGTGATTCAGGTGAGCAAAGATAAAACAAACACCTGGTATCGCTGCCTGTGGAGGGCTGCAGAAGCCTCAGGTGCTGTTCCCCAACATGCACACCTGTGCACAGCACACGCAGGCACAGATGGCCCTCTCTGGAGTGCTTGCCTTCTCTGATCTATTACCTGAGAAGTTGGCGTTTGTCAGATTTCTACTGTCCTGCCGGTCCTCTCTCACAGAATCTGGGGAGATGGATGCACTGAGCTCCTTCTCAGAGGCTTAGAGCTTCTAGACCTTTGCCAATTATATCTGAGTATCTTTCCTCCCCAAATGAAGGGATTGTATCTCCTTTGGGGGGGGGGTAAAGCTGTTATCACACATCCCATATCCCTACTCTGTGGTCTATGAGGTAGTGTTTATGTTCCCAGTCCTCAGAGGCTATGAGGACTCTGACAAAAATGGTTTTCACCTAATGAGATCTGATTCTTACAAATTAAAACTGCTTTGACTTGAGTTACAAAGGCCTCCTTTAAAGAGCTGAAGAGGGAGGGGTCTTGGGCTTCCCGGAAAATGAAGTTGACTTTTCCTTATTTCTCCTCCTAAAAACCCTAGACATTATATTTAAAATATTATGATTGTCAGAGAAGATTCTG